GTTAGGGGATTTCTGTGGTGCTGTGACTGCATCAGTGTCGGCATATCGCATATTCTCCCCCGTTTGATATACGAAATTAAATCGGGACCTTTGTTTGTAACCGCCAATTAATCATGATTGGTTGGACCAATATTTTCAGTTGATTCTTTTTAACCTGAGTTTTTTTTTACAAATTTTTTAATAAAGTTGGCTTATGATATTACCACAGGGGTGCTGTATCCGGCTATCCGCGCAGTTTGTCACCGCCGTTGATTAATCACCGTCGACTGAATTCATCTCTTCGCCGGAAATCAAGAGATGTTTGAATCTCGTTCCCAGCATCATTCTCCTCGTCTCCCTCGAGTTTCTTCTTAGGGTGATGGCGGTGGTGGACTAGAGATGACTTAATGACGGTGGTGACTTGGATCGACAAGTGGTTCGAGATCTTGGTGGTGATGGTCGATGACAACGGCGATGATGGTGATGGATTGGTGGTGCAACTCGCCGGAAGAGTTTGCCTTCGAAGGAAAGGAACTCACGCTACCTGTTCTTTGCCTTTTGTACATTTATGTTTCTGTTTAATTAATTTATTAGTTAAATCACCCACCCAATATTTAGTTAATCACGTACCGAATCGTCATGTTTAGCCAGCCATAACAAGGTGACGGCACCGGTGCCGTCACGGCACCATAGAATTGCCGAATAAAGTTAACATATATATTTGAAATTATGTGAAGTTGTTAAAAGCGTTTCAGCTTTGAATGATCGAGACTAGCGGTGCGACTGAGATGTAATGGAAGAGGTTAGGGTGTTAACGTCCAATTTATTGGTAAGGTGGTAGCACTAATTCTAACCAATAGAATATTTCATTTTGATAACTTTTCCATTTCAAAAGGTTGATCACAATCAGGGGCGTAGCCAGGATTTTATCGAGGGTGGATCCATTAGAAAAGAATATACGATAAAATAATTTTGTTAGTTTTCTAAATCATTCATGATATAATTTTGTATTTGCAAAAACTTGGTAAATTAAATATATGTCAAAACTATCAAGAATATCACCATATATGTATCAAACAATTATTTATGATTTAGTTAGACATTTGCTTTTGAATTGTGTTCTTCGTCAAGACCGTTTAGTATCATTAATTCGAGTTGTTAGGAAAGATTTAATAATGAATCTTATACTATTTAGTATTTACTAACACTTTCCTGCTTACTACAACCAACTTATGCGTGCTTAAAGTTTACGTAAATCCGAATATCATGTGTTTAACAAATGGGGTTACAAAGATTCGAACAAATGATATATCGGTCAACCATTCTCAATTAGAAGTGCCCTAAATTTCATTCTCAATTAACTATTATACTAATTTACTAATCTTCGTCCTTAGGAGACACCTGTTACAAATGAGTTATGATTTGGTGGAAATTTGTTGTAGATATTGAATACATACATTTTCAATTTTGGGCGAATCATATACATCATTATCATTTGTCCATAGCTCGTTATAAATACATTGAATATGTCAATGCTCGTTATAAATCATACATCAAATATTTCAAAGGTCAACCAATTTCATTTAAATACGTATTATTTTTCATACCCGATTAACTATTGTACCTAATTGACCATTTTCTAACCCGAGCCAGGGTGGGTCCCGGGACCCACCCTCTAACTCTCTCCCTCCGCCCCTGATCACAATTGAGATGGATTTATAAAGAGAAGACACGCTTGCAATTAATAAAAATAAGGGACACGCGCGTGTGGCACTGTGCATTAATTCTGCGTCCTACGCCTCACTACAAATATTATGAAGCAAAGCACAAAGCACAGAATAGAAACACAACAAATCACATCACAAATACCCATAAAGCATATCAGAATGGTTATTAAAGCTAACCAAAACCTTACCACACCACAAAATTTATAAAGCATACCAGAAAACTCAGCTAACCACAAGTTCTCTGAAGCAGACGAAAAGTTTTTAAAAACGGACCACAAGTTTCTTAAAGCGGACCACATGTTTTCTTAAGCATATCATAAACCTCATTAAGCATACCATAAGTTTATTAAAACAAACCACCAGTTCCATGAAATAGACCAAAACCTCATAAAGCAAACAATAAGTTTATTAAAGCGGAGCACAAATTTCTTAAAGTATACCAGAAAACTCATAAATTTAAACCTATTTTTAAATTTTAAAAAAAATTAGGCATCAATGTAAGACACAAAAATTTTAGGTACTAAAATTTAATTTTTCATCAAGATTTTTAGGACTTATATTATGGGGGAAGGGAGCTGCTATGAGTGGCTAGTCACTATAATTCCCTAAATGAATTATGCTAGCATGGTGCTAACACTAAGGCGTGTTAGTAACCTATTCGGTAAGGGCAATTGTTAGTCTTTAAAATGATTATCCATAATGATGATTAGTGGTTAATCAATATTTAATAAGTGAATTGATTTCACTTAGTAGTTAACCATAAATTAACTGATCAATTAGTGGTTGATCGCCAAACAAATAAATGACCACCTACTATAATCTTATCATTTTAGGCTACGACTAATGGAAAACTCTCGAGATTCAAGACCAACGAAAGTCACAAGAGCATTCCAAACCTCACTTATCGCAAACCAAAGTCTCAAATGTCCCAAAGAATGAGAACCCAATAGCTATCCCTCTATCCATCTCACATTTGCATTCAACCAACTGGAGCTCAATCCTTACTAGTCTTTGTGTCTTTGATGTTTATGAATGGTGGTGATCTTGTGGTCCTTGTGTATGATCTTACTAGTTGGTACATGTTTTCCGGCGAGAAAACTTGCGTTGAATTGATTGCACCTTGATTTTTTTGAACAACGATCAACTAACACGGTTCACACCTCTTCAAACAAAGTCCAAACGAGGGTGTTCGATGTTTACACGACTCACGATACAAATTTACGTTAAGTTACTTCTACTCCTATGGAGGTTCAGTGAGAGCTCCAAATATACGACTATGGCTAAAATTTTAGAGGAAAAGAAAAAAAGGATAAAACTTGACATTATGTTGTCTGGTGTGAATTTGGCCACATTGTACAGTGAAACGTCCAACGTGCTCTACAGTGGAGTGATCTCTAGTCTCTGTAAATGTGGCAAACTTGGGAACTCTGGATCCCCTTTGAAACGGGTGAAGCCTATCTACCCATTCAGGATATGGCTTCCGCTATACAGGTGGCATGGTAGGTCTTACTCTCATGCCAAACTGCTCCGTGAGGAGTTGAGCCACTTGATCCCTAAGGGTGTTGGCGTCATGACCCCCTTGTTGCCCCCCATACGATACAACCCCAATGGGATCCATGCCATACCCATTGAAATGGGGTGGCGTTGGAATTGGGTAGCCTCGTGGTGGGATCTCATCCATGTTTCCACCTAGACCTCCTTCTACTCCCAAATTGATGGGAGCCACGTAGGGTCTTGCCTCCGTGATAGATGGACGAGTAACCACTTGCCCAGGTGGCTGCTCAACTTGAGTGTTGAACATGATGACGACTCCCCACACGGGGGTACCATTTCAACTTCCACGCGTCCATGTGACGACTCCCCACTTGAGAAGTAGCGGGAATCTCAACATGATCTACACGACGTGGAGGTGGTTGGCTTGCCGTCTGAGGCGCCTAGTTCTCTTGTTGTGGTTGGCCATTTCGGCCACCGACGGGAGAAAGAACACTATTAGTAGGCGTTAGGCTTGTGCCATCTGATGACAAAGCTCTTGACTGCATTACTGGTATACTTAAAGACTGTCGGAATTGATCCAAATCATTTGAACTTTTGTTAACTACTTCAAACAATTGACTCAAGCGTCTATCTACGTGAGAATTGAGACAATCAATTTGAGAATTTAACTGATGAGTACCAGCCCTAGCCTCCTCCATCATGCGACGGTTCTCCATCAGCATTTGGCGGTTCTCATCCGTGGCTTAACTGTTCTCTGCCACCAAGATCTCCGCTCTAACATTTCCTCCTGTCACCACCTATGATGTTTGGCCATGCTCGATGTTGGCCACCCATATGACTGAATTATGTTTATATATTTTATTAATCTTAAAGTACGGGAACATATCACATGAATAAGTTATTATGACTATGAGTTTTAACTTAGCAAACCATCATTTTTACTTCATGCTATTATTTCTTCATGATCTAGTAAGCACACAAAAAAAATGTTATTTTTCTAGTATATCGCGATAAGAGTGTATTAGTTCAGATATTTATAGTAACTCTTTTCTAGCAAATTGCAACATAACTGTTTTGGCTCACATATTTATAGCAGTTTGTACAAACAAAATGTAAAATTCTTCGTGTTCTAGAATACGAAAAAAGGTTATTCTTTGCGTTTTCATTTCTCAATTTTAAAATAAAATCACATGTATAAAAGTTTATAATTGTGTACCAACTAAATTTATGCTTGTTAGGATTTTTTAATTATTTTTAAAAAATTATAAAAAAATATCAAACATATTATAATTAGAAATTAAAATAGTTTATTTGTAGTTGTTAATGATTTCTATCATTGCTAAAAAATAGAATAAATTTTTTTAACCGTGATAGTTTTTGTTGTGTAATGTACAGAAGTCAACCGTTAAATAAAAAAAGAATGTTATGTGTTGTACATATTTTTATAACATGAGTATTAATCTTGTGATTAATCGAATTAAAGAGATTTTATTCTATTGGTTAAACAACTTAAAAGATTACAGTTTGAGCTACTAGGTTGCATTATTAAATCTTAGTTATGGTGATTGATATAGATGTTTTATTGTGATTAATAGCATCAAATATACTTTATCCTAGTGGTCGAACACTTGAAATGATAATAGTTTGAACTCATAGATCACATGGAAATTTTAAAATTAAATTTTTTATTAAATTTAAATTGCCACGTCATACACTTAACGGTCAACTCTAAGAGTTGACTACCACATCAATCAAAATTAACGGAATTGGACGGAGAGTGACCAAACATAACATGTTTTACTAAAGTTAGTGACCACCAATGAAATTAAATATTTTTAGTGACCAAATATGAACGTTTTTAGTAATCTCAGTGACCAACCTTGCAATTAACCCCTGTTGGAGTATAAGGGCACTGCAGCATTGAAGACTCTTGACTATCTCAAGTTAGTGAAGTTTACTTTGATAACAATGTTATGCAACTCTTTTATCTAGTATCAGTGCGATTCTGTGCAGAAGCATGTTTGTAGGTGTTGCACTTGTCCAACAACGAGATCTGATCAGGAGATAGGGATTATAAGCCGCTACTCAAGTAAATGCTGAGATGCCCGCGTCCTGCAATTAAGAAGATTTCATTGTGTAATGGACGAAGTGGACAAAACCGACGCAGAACTTGTAATCAAGAGGCTCAAACAATAAGTCAATCCGTAATGAAATATTTCCCATCATCTTGATCCGAAATGCAAGTAGTACCTACCTCCGTCTTCTTGCTACACTGTTGCCTTGTTCTGATAAACGAGAAGCTTCTGATCTTGATATGTGGCTCAGTGCGGAAAGATACTCCTGAAATGATTCACCTTTGATCGTAGAATATGATCGTGAGGGGACAACGAAACGAACTATGTCCAAGATATGAGACTGGTTCGCCCTGCTGGATGCCAATAAGTCGAGCAATTAGTCAGGTACGTCAATATGAGCCATATGCCCATATCAGATGAAATGCAAGAGAATCATGGGACTTTTTATCTTGAACAAAATGCCACTTTTCTACACCTCACTTAAAATGTCTCAGCTTGTTACTATTAAACATACATATCATCATTCATCCATGTGCAGTACAATCATTTGGAGATAATGTGCGCACTAGTCAGGGGTGGATATACCAAATAGTACAGCGGTCATACCTCTTTGCCAATCCTCCACCTCCAGACAGGCTACTCGTTCTATCGGGTTCACTATGTGCTATCACTCTCTCACTTGGATCTTGGAACATAGAGGAGGAATCAGCTTCCACCATGCTGCCGATAGACAACATTGCCCAAGTCAAATTTACTTTGTCATGAGAACCCATTTTCAACCTCAAACCGTTAATGTCATCGACATAGCAGCCAAAGCCATGCTGCACAATGTTCGACACCATCTCTCGCTGCCTAGCATGCCAGCTGAATGTTTCTGATACCTCGGAAAGAGCAGTAAAGAGCTCCGAGGAACCCTATAAAAGAAAACACTATCAGCCACAAACACAGGAGACAAAAGGCAAAAATGCGTGCGAAGCTAAAACTTACAGGCAAATAGCACTCTGAAAACAGCATCTCAGCGTCTAAAACATGATTGCTCATTGCACATGCAAGCCTGACGATTCCTGAAGCATTTTCATCTTCTGATACAGAGAAATGTTTTAGATCTGAATACCGGTGACGAAGTTTTCTCCAGGTCTCTCGAACCATATCAGCTTCATCCAACCATCCAAGTTGTGCTGCTGCCATTGGGCATTTCTTATTGAAATCAATTCGGCTACACTCGTCCATCAATTGGTACTCTCCAGCAACAACTCCCATAAAATCAGTTTGTGAATCTTCAATCTCCTGATGTGACGAGGTCGGCAACAGTAGATCGCAATTGCTTTCCAAAATTTCAGAAACTCTGTATGATTCAGATATGCAGTCATCAAGATCTTCCTCCACTGGGGATAGATTGAGATATCAAACCCATTGGTCACTGACACTTCTTCCAAAGTAGAAGTCACTTAATCAACTGACAACCTTGTTTCATCATCAATTTTGGTCTCTGGAACAAACGATGACTGCGGAACACATGAGATATCAATTGCTTGGCAGATTTGATTCGAGTGTAAATCTACTGCATTTTCTGAATACTGGTAACAGTTTTCCTTCAATTCCTCTGCTCTTAAACTCGATTCAAAGTCAGCTTGTCTGCTTAAATAGTTTTTCCTGCTCATGTCATCACTGGGAATTTCACCTAGTGTTATAAAATTTTGAGTATCATCTTCGGAATCTGAAGAGACTACATGATCAAGCTTTCTTCTACAGTTTAGCCTGACAAATGTAACTGGACTTGTTGAGGTAACAAAAGCATCGTGATCAAATTCAAGGCAACTCCTATCGAGCATCGCTTTCTTCCTGGCCTCTGTACTGTCCTTTCTAAATCCACATGTCACCAAACCATCATGCATCACTTCTGATTTTACCTCTGTGGTCCTCACAGCAAGATAATTTTCTTCCGACTGCAATAATGACCTTGTGATCTCTTTCTCAATCAACTCAGAAAACTGAGAAGGACAATCCCAGGGAATCATCTTTGGCAGTAATTGATGAGCAGGCTCGGGAGAAAAGATCAACGATCCTTGCAATTTTGGAGTGCCTAAACTCAAGATGTTAGGTACTAGGGAATGTATAAGGATAAGGAACACACATGCACAAGTCATATGTTTTGGTAGTGCTTCGCTCGGTTATTTATAGCAACCTACCTTTTCATCCATACATATTAAATTAGCTTATTCTGAAGATTCATGAAGCATCCAGAGGGCAAACTTACAGTTAAGCATAAATAGAAATGAAAATATCTACACAATCAGATCGGTATGAACACTAACGAGTAACGACAAAACAATGAAACAAGCTTCAGAGTGAAAGGGCTTATCAATTTACCTGTTTCCCTGAATTGTTTACCCTGGCACCAAAACTGGGCATGCATAATTACCTTCCTGATATCTCCATGACAACATTCAACTATTTTCTCTATGACATGAGGTTCGGAATAAGACTTTTCTGAAGAAAAAACCTATAGAGAGGAAAAAGGGATAGTCAGCATGGGATGCTTGTCTCATAGACAGCCAAAGATGCAAGCAGAGCACCTACCTTGTAGACATGCTGAAGAAGATCCTTGTGGGCAGGCATCTTAAAATTCACATAAAGCCTATCCAATTTTTCAGGAAGGACAGGATTGTCACCTGTTAATTACTAAAATCATGAAAAAAGGAACAACAATATAGATGTAATTATGTACTAAGAACAGACAAGGAGTAATCGACATCCAGGGGACATTCTCACTGTTGCTGGTTAATACAACAGGGCCTTTTGCATTGTCAGCAATGTTCTGGATAGCAGAAATAAAACCAGAATCTTGCGGGAAGATAACATCAACATCCTCAAAGAGAATCGATGTTTTAGTTTTGTTGTCAGACTTCCCACAGGTTTCAGTGAGTCCATGAATGTTATGCTTGTCTGCTTTAGATTCGAAGTCAATGAGTTTGTTCTCGTGCTCTTGCATCACTTCATAATCTAGAGGGGTAAAGGAGAATTTCATGAAGCCTCCTAGTGGCTTCACAGGACTCTCTACTGACCTGGAAGACACGTCACATAAGAAAAATGATTATATGAAAAAAAGCTTTTCAACTCAGATGTCTAGTAAATACAAGAGAATTAGTGGTATTTGTTTCCAGTTAGTGCAGGATACTGCTAGGTGTACAAACCTTTTAAAGAATTGTGACCCCAACGCCTCGCCAAACCTACGCCTCACACCAGTGCCATTTCGACATTCTGATGTACTGACCTAAATAAGAAATTAAAATAAGAATACAGCCTTTCTTTAATATAATAGTCAGGTACTGATGTTCTATTTAGTCCCAGAATGTAACCATAGGTGACTATCACAAAAAGCTAAGAATGGAAGAAGGGAAGTTAAAAGGACACCAAAATATCATATGAATGCCTCAACCACTAACTTTGTCTATAAAAACATTAAAAAAAAAATTGAAGCACCTCCAAGTTTTGTAACCCTGCTCCTTTGCACATGCATAAATGGCTGCAGATTTCCCACTCTGCAATGAAGAGAAATCTCATTTAGGGTAACTGGAAAGACAATAGAACACAACAGAAAGTAGAAGCAATCACACACATACAGCAAGTTTTCCAATTAAAAACAAGGGTTTGGTCTAGTGGTAATACCACTAATCTGGAACCTGGAGGTCTCAAGTTCGAATCCTTAAGTAGTTGAAGCATTGACAAAAAGGAAACGACAACGTACATCAATAGCTAAATCCAGAAGAAGGATATTTCTATAGTTGAAGCATTGACAAGAGAGCACAGATTATAATCGTCAACTACTTTAACGACTGATCAAATGATACTCTGGACTTGGGTAAGTCTTTGGAGGATAATGCTATTGCATGTGGGTGTAAAACTAAAGCAGCAAATTGCAAGATTTAAACATTAATGACCAATAGAATCTACCAAATTATACTAAAAAAAAAATATCTATCTACAAATGATTCCCATAAACCAAAACACTTTTGGCAACAAATGAATAAACAGAACAACTAAACATATTTACAAAGTTGGACAACTGGAATAAAGAACCTTGAAACTTATTTACCCCTGCTGGTCCAGTTATCAATAAAACTGGCTTACGGCTACCCATGTAATTTATGTTCTCAGACTCACTTTAGGAACACAAATAATCAGTATCTTGGTCATTTGAATCAATCCCAATGGAAGAAAACTTGCAGACACCATAACTCTTTTGATTCCAATTGTGAAGCTACTCATTCACAAAATTCACTGCTTCAGTATTACTAAGTACCTGCACAAAGTTTCCAGAATAAATCAGCGAAAGAATTCAGAGGAAAACAAAGAGCTGAGTAAGGTTTCTAACATCAAACCTCTCTGGCGATCTTTGGCTGGTATTTGTCAGTCCATAATCTATTATCGACCTGACTTTCACCATTAAGACAGTCTGCTCTCCCCCTGCAAATGCAGTAAAACAAAAATTAAGATTTTGCTAAATGCAAGCAACTTAAGCAACCAGAGAAAATATCAGAATAAGTCTTCTCCAGTAACCAGTAGCATGCAGAGTATCTTTGTGATACTGATATTATAGCTTGTGCATTACTAGACATCTACAACCTAGCTCCCACCAACTGAATCACTATTCTGAGATGACCAAGCAGGTACAAATTATTTTACCTTCGGTTGAAGCAAAATGATGATAATGTTTTTTGAGTGGTGCAGCAGCAGTAAGTGGGTTCAATCTCTGGTCATTCAAAAACTAAATTCATTTCAAGCTGGAAAAAAAAAAGACTAAACCAAGCTAGCAACGACTAGAAAGATTGAATCATCCCACATAATTGACTACTCCATACCGAAGCAAGAATGCATATATTAATCCTTCTTCACTAATGCATTCATCATAAAGCCTCTAAAGGTGCTTTCTAGATCAAGCCAACTAGGATATTGTGGAAACCAAATTTACTCAGACCAGAGGAATAGCACAAGGCAGTGGTTGGAAGAGAAGAAGAGAAATCGAAACCTCTCGTGCTGCAAAACACCTGTTTCCTCTACATTTTCAACCATTACTTGTGCACCAAAAAGACCAGATTCATCAGGCTTGCAGTCCTACCATGACACAGAAAATGGAAGATGAAAAACAGAAGCAAGATTTAACCAAAGCTATGAACTCACTAAAGATTCAAGAAATTATTTGGTGAGAGAAAATGAACATACAGTTGTCATGTCAGTTATGAGCTGACAGCAGATGCCGTGCACATCTGATGAATTAGAGGATACAATTGCAGACTCTTCATTCAAAAGTTCTCCTTGAAGAAGATGTCGATCTACAGAAACATTATTATCAGCAACTTATCTGCAGGAGAGATACATATGAGGTACAAAATGAGACCTACTGAACAGCAAATGATCTGTTCAGGCATCAAAATGTAATGTGTAGAAACCTTCTACAGTACATGCACTATCCGCAAAAGGGTTTCTCATGAAGTTCCCAGTTCGTCCAATCTAGAAAGGCAGCACCATCCTGAACAAAAGAAGCTAAGTAAATCCCTGCTGAGTTGAAATCATAAGTTTGGAACCGATAATACATAACAATTCAAGACCGAATACTTATTAGCAAATTAAAGTTAGAACCACATTTCAGTTGAAGAAGTTGGAAAATGATTGAATCTCAACTACAGAAGGTTACTATTAATGTTGATAATTTCAGAAGTTGTAGTTCCAACCCACCCCCACAGAAAGATGAAAATGATAAACAGCCTCACGTAACTACTATATTTGTCGCCTCACCCTCCTTCAATCCCACAAGATAATGGAAAGAAAAATAATGGGAATCACCGTTGCTCTCTTAAATACATACCTCATCCCTTTCAAACACATGAATAGGTGGCGCGGTAGCTTGGTCAGATCCTCTCAGGACATCGCCTATCACCTGATGTCTCTTACTCTCTTTCCATAATGAGAAAATGGGTGCAATAGCTTCCCAGAATACTTCTGGGAGTACTCCTACAAAACATAAAGATAGGTGGCAAGACAAGTTCAGGTATTTCACACATAAAGCTATAGGGGGCTCAAATTGCAGTGAAAAGACTTTCAAAGAATCATGGCTAACACTTGGTCATTTTAACCAACTGCAGGAGACAGCGAATTTCGTTCACTGACCTCATCAGCCATTTTAGCCTCCAATCGCACATTTGGCATGGATGGAGGAGTTACATCCTTATCCTCCGTCAGATCAGTATCCTTGATGATCCCGTTCTTTTTTGGTGTAGAATCAGCTGATGATCTCCCATTTGACTGTTTGAACAAAGCATAACCATCAATTACGTATTGACCTAGACATTTCAAAGGAATCGACCGTATAGCAATAGGGGACATCAGAATAACTGATGCCAAGGTCAAGAAAGCCCGAACCAAATTCGATGTGTCTGATACCTTTGCACAGACTAAGAAGCTAAACGACAATCGAGCAAGAAACCCACTAAATAAACAGCAGCCTACTTGATGAAAAGCTAAGTAGCAAGGATGTTTGACCTTCTTAGGAGTTCTACCATGACAAATCGACCACTTTGCCTTGCGCGCTACTTTCCTCTTGTTTCCTTGGCTGCTTCTGCAGTTGTCCTCTTCGTCTCTACCTTCCGCATCCTTGTGTTCGCCATTACTCTCTTCATCGTCCCGTTTCTTCTTTACCTAGCCAGATTTAGCGCCTTCGGGTGACATTTGATGGAACAGCGTCGATTGCACCAGTCTCCGCCGAACAATCCTCCGTCGGCTTCCCGACCTCTTCCGAGTACGCAACCACCGCAGTCAGCGGGCCCTCTCCCTCAGCTGACCGATCCATGTGGCCGTCGAATCTAGCGAAGCGAATTACTAGACTTAGGGTTTATGAGCAAATTTGATTCTTATCTTCCCAATTTTTCTCATTTTTTTTATTTTAATTATTTTCTTCAATAAAATGAAATTAAAAATTCCACATCATTTCCCACATCAACGCTGACTAGACAATCTGTTAAATTTTAACGGTCAATGCTGGTCAACACTAACAGAGTAATAATTCAGGACACAGATGGAATATTTGATACAATAGGACACAAGTGACATTTTTCGGATAGTTTAGATGTTGTAGTGGTATTAGCCCTACGATTTATGATACAATCAAATCCAATCCGTTGGTTGCTATTCTTGCATATCTCCTCCCCAAGACAATTTATTTATCGAATTGTAATTATAATATAAAATGAAGTTGCAAAAATGTTAATAACAAATTTGGATGGGTCACATTTTGAAATGACTTGGTATTGTATGGTATCATAGGCTCTTTAAGACAAGTTCAAGATTTGATCATCACGAATTATTAGTCAGACTTTCTTACCTATATGAAACTAGATTGTACCCCGGCCCGTTGGCCGGTTGCAATATGATCACATTAACTAACAAACCTTCAAAGTTTTAATTTCAGTAATCTCCACTTCTCTTATAATCTTGCCATGATTATATGTCAATGCTATGCGAATTAACAAATAACGATAACGAATTTACCAAATAGCAAGCTAGTTTAATTTATTAGTTTTTACCATTAAGAAATTCAAATTATTCGCATATGGGAAAGAGAAAATGTGGATCCATCATAAAAATTACTTAACATTGTAATCAGAGTCATCTGTGTAGATTCTTGTTGTCATTAAGCATATAGGTGTTCCAAAATAATATCACCTCTTAACCATCAACTCCACTATATTCATCATTGATAAGTGCTTTACAACAAAAGAATTTGCCTCATTATCGCTGCAACTGTTGTTGGAAATTATTTTTTTCATCAATGATTATGTTCAAAACTGTTAATTTAGTTATGAATATTTATATGTAATCATTAAAGTTGATGTGAAAATTCAACTTCATTCTTTTTCCTTCATTTAATAACACATGAGGGAGATGATGTATCATTCTTCCACTATTTTTAATAGCTTTTCCACAGTAATTCTAAGAAATCATGACTTCTTGATGATCCAAGACAACCAACTCATATTTGGTAGTATTCACAACTCGAGTTGGATCCTAAATATGAAAAATGATAGTAATTGATGGGTAGTATTGTCAGTTAAAGTTGGATTCTAAAAATGAAAATACTAATAATTGAGATTCATTATTTAGAAGAGCAATATAAGCTTAAGTGGGAACGATTTGTGAATTGACTATAGGAGTTTGATCTCATTTGTCATAATAAAAATAAAATGAGATGCATAGTATTAATAGCCTTAGTAAGAATTTATTGAATTGATCAACAATTCTACTTCATAGATTTATTTTCACAACATATCTCTTCTACATGAATTGAAACTTATAACTTTACTAAAACCAAGTGATTTTAAAATCAAAAGTTACATATGTAAGCTACTTCGCCACATGTTAGCATAGTTAGTAGAATACGGTACGGGAAAGTTACTGATAAAATATGTACATGTATTTTACTTCACATCTAAGCTAATGTTACATTTAATAGTACGTTAATAGTTATACATATAATTAATTATTTTAAAATAAATAAATATTTAAATAATATTTAAAGTTAACAATTTAATTCATTAAATACATATATGAAATGTGTTATTTGGGTTTTATACGTGTTTAATACGGGAGTCATTCAATGAATGAAAAAAATAAAACGGCTTGACAATAATAAGGATACAAAATTTTTAAACGGATAAAATATGTACGAGTACATATACGTGTATTAAACGGAATATTTACTAACTATGCGTTTTAGGACATCCATAGATAATTTGAACTTCATAAACAGTTTTTTGATAATCTGTAATTTCTTTTGTCCGAGTAACTAATCATAAAAATATTTATCCACTTATTACAATCCGAAATCCCTAGGGACTCAAACTTGCCAATAAATGTTTTCGAAATTTGCAGACAATTTTCATTTTTTGTGTCTAACAATGATATCAGAAATTAAATTCTAGGCTAAAATCTATTCAACTCGAGCTAAACATATAACTTTATCTCCGAGTGAAAAATCATCATGTTCTTGAATTGTTAAATCGAAAACTATATGAAACTTCATTTTTTATATGATATAATTGCAAGCATATTGATTAACACCAGAATAGTTAGTGAAAATTTGTATAATATCCAGATCATACATGTATACGTGTTACATGCATTTGAAACTTCCTTTAGTAGTATGATAGGGTTGTGTTTATTTTTATTTTTATTTATTCTTTATGTATAAACACGTATAACAATGGTAAAAGAAATCATAAGTTTATGTCGAAGTAAACTAACGATGCATTAATTTATGTTAATTGTAATTATAAGTTCTATAATTTGGTGGGCTGTGGAAAAGAAAACGGAAATCCCAAGTGATGCCCAGCTGTGAGTTGGCCATAGTAGCTCACCGAAAATTGAGATGCAAAAGGACTCATAAGTCCTTCCATGCTTTGCGGGGAGGCCAGAAAATTTTTAATTGGATAGGTGCTTAGCAAGAATGTGCTTATATGTATGGGAGGATCAGAAAAATATAAACACAGCTAAAATGTTTATGTTTGTCGAGATAATGCATGTAAATAGATTGCCTTGGGTAATCTTTAACTATTGGGCTTCTCTTGTGGGATTATTTGCATGCATTTTTTATCTAGTGGATAAAATGAATTGTTAATTCTTCACTTAATACAATATGTTTCGTCTGGATCATACTAAATCGTATAATACTTGAGTTTCAGCTAGACGTGGGAAAATAGATCAAACTGTTTGAAAAATAATGGCTCAATCCAGATTGTACCATTTGGTCTGGATCATAGACCATTATATTACACATGGTTTGGTTTGGTCCGTATTATCATACCATATTGTGGTGTGCGAAACCATACCGTGGACCCATCCCATTTTCACTTCATGTTAGTAGCTCACTCGATCACACTCCCGCTCTTCAACGAAACCCAAGCCTCACCCTTAAATTTTCAAATCTCGACCCCTCATTGGTGCACAAACCACACTCCGTCATAGAGTAGAGACGATATGAGATTATGTTAATTTTTATGACGTTATGGTGCTTTGACTTTGTGTTTTTGTTATTTACTTGGGGTCGTTTGGATGGAGTATTTGTGAGTTAGTTGGGTTCAAATATTTGAACACAAATAACTCGTTTGGGAGCGTTTTACTGAAATGTGTTATTTGGACAGTGAGTTATTTACAAATAACTCATACTCATGTGTTATTTCGAAATAATCCGTTTTACCAATCTGCTTTTACCAAATACCATGTTTCAAATACCACAATTTTATGATTGAACCCAACGAGATACTTTATTTCAATTACCACTAAAATAACACTAAAATTCTACGTGAACAATAAATGAGTTATTTAACTCTACACATATCACATTGACAATTAACCAATCCAAATGACCTCTTGAATTTTTAGTTTTGTGTGTAGGAATTTTAATGCTAATTAAACTATTTGTTTTTTTGCTCCACGTGATTTGCCTGGACCGGAGCATACAAAACCAACAGAGGCGTGGTCTGGACTCTGGATCATGATCCTTCGTCTATGCTCAAATCTCTCCGTTTGTAATATGAACCGTATATATATGGTAATGGTCCGGAACAGACACCACTGCCTACAAGCCTAAGTTCCAGCCCGGCAGCCCCAGCCCCCAAGGTATCAAGGATTGCAAAACCGAGGACAGACGACAAAATATGAAGAGAGAGAGAGAGAGAGAGAGAGAGAGAGAGAGAGAGAGAGTTGTCCCGCTATTGACCTCAGGCCTCAGCCACCACTGACTCCGCCCTTCGCTAGCCTCTGCCAAAACAACAGTACCTAGGTTATAGGATTACGTCTATATACATAATCTTATGTTCAACACAATACGTAAGCGTGGTTATTATACAGTTCTTATTATTTAAGAAATTATAATACGGTTATTATTAATATATATTTATGGTGATGAACTACAAAATACAAATGGTTCATGTAGTAGTCGTAGAGACCAACATGTATAAATATAACGTTACCAATTCGACTCTCACTACTACTATACAAGAAAATAAATAGAAATGGGCAACATAACATTGATATCATGGATTTGCGAAAAAGAAAAAACAAATTCCCATCTATAATATAAAAAGGTTTAATGGCTTTAGAGGAAAAGCATTCGTGAAATCAACATAAGAGTTGCTCCCAAAGAACGTCCGGAAAATAAATATATATACAAAAAGGAAGTACTAACCTCAGGTTGTCAACCCGATTTAGTTTAGTTTATTGGATCGGTCAAGCAATTGGATGCGAGTTATTAGTTGGATTGGCTGATTAACCCAATTGGCCCATTTTACTCATAGGAAAATATATGTTTGGATGGATCAATTCAGAAATGAGACAATTTGGTCAATAGTATCATTTTATAAAACAAGCCAATTAAAATTATCTTCCCCACCCCAAATAATTGAAATTGACTTAAAATGGATCAATTTGAAATTTCTTAGATCAAATTGATCCATCCAAACTTTCTGCTGGCAAACGAGTGGGGATTTGGTCTAATTGTCTCAAAACGAAACAGTTGAATCAAATTGATCTGTTACATTTCTTCATCCAAACGTCCCCATAAGTATAGATAGGGGTGAAAAATGGTACCGTATCGGTATCGCAATACCAAATACCAAAATTCCGAATACCGAATCACACCCGAAAATCAATCACAATCCCAATCCCTAAATAATTTCGGTATCCCAATCCCAATCGCTAAATATTTTGGTATTCCAATCAGTACTTCGGTATCCCAATTGGTATTATCCAATACAAAATTAATTATCTTTGCAATTAATAATTAAATATATAAATAATATTTATTGTTTAATTTAGGGCAAAGAGAATAAACAAAGAGTCTTGAGTTTGCCTAGAGCTAGGATATTGATAAGGAGAATGGTGAAGAGGTGACATCTCAAATTCTTGTCATTGGTAATCTTTAATTTGACGAATTGGAGATTGAGAGACGACTAATACTAGCGTTTGCATTTTGGTGTTATGAAAATTACAAGAGATTAGATGAGAGACGAGAGGCGAGACGAGAGTGATTTAAATTGGAAAAGTCAAATTTGAGTTGCATGGGGACTTCTAAGTTGTAAAATAGTGATAGAATGATCTATGTATAATTAAATGAGACTCTTAGTGGTTGAGGGTCGTGTAGTAGTGAATGAGAGAGTCTAGTTGAGAGGATAAAATACACACTATCTTATATTTCGGTATTGATCGGTATTTCAGTATATACCGGTCCCAATCCTATAATCCATAATACCGAATAACAATTAAAATTCAATCCGAATCCCAATCCCAAAAAATAATACGTGTACTTGGTAATACCAAATATAAACAAATTCGGTACGCTATTCGGTATATCCCAAATACCGATACCAAACTTCCAGCCTAGGTATAGAATGTTATAATTTGAGATCCTAGAGACTAAAAATATAGTTCAGTTTAAGGTACCATGTAGTAATTCCGGTTGGCCCGTTCTTTACACAACTAATTCATGCATGTAACTCTAATCCCTAAATCTTAAATTGTGAATCCTAGTCTTTAAAATCATTAAACCCTTTCCGATCAAAGTAAGTCTTAAATGGTTTTTACAAATTCATTGGGGGTTCTTATACATCATAAAACAAGTGAGTATTGATGTGGTTTTGACAAGAATCTCCTACTCGAGATGGCAATTATGTTGATACTAGGGATATTTCCGTAGATTTGCATTTGATATAAGTTGAGTCTTGACTGGTTGTAGTACCGACTAAGATGACAACCATAATTTCATTAGAATTGGAGGAGGTAACAGTAATTGTGATATGCACCTGTACGTTTAGTAACGAAACCATCCCATCCCACCCACAAATGACACAAATTCTATGAACAAGATGACTTGTCGTTATGTACGATACGATGCAAATATATACTTGTATTGTTCGTTAGGAAGGGAGGGAGGGAGAGGAAGTAGGACAAAATACATAAAATGAGCTAGTGAGGCCGTGAGGGAGAACGGGCTGGACTGGCTTCTGCCACACGCAATATTGCCTGCCAGCTGCCTGCCGCGGAGTGAGCTCTTTAGTGAGGTCAGGTGAGAGAGAGAAGCTAGGCTGCTTATTTCTTATGAGACTGAGAGAGAAAGAGAGAGAGAAAGAGAGAGAGGGGAAGAATCAAGAAATGGACGAGAGAGCTGGAGAGAGAGAGCGACCGACCTAGCTAGTATAGCTACGAATTCCTTCCTTCTCCTCGATCGGTCTCCACCTTGCCGTCGTTTTTTCTTCCTCCTTCCTTTCCCTTCCCGTTTTTCGATCTGATTGGAAATGGACGAGAGAGCTAGAGAGAGAGAGCGACCTAGCTAGCTAGCTAAGCATTCCTTCCTTCTCATCGATCGATCGATCGATCTCTCTCCACCTTAGCTTGCCGTCGTTTTTTCTTCCTCCTCCCCTTCCCGACTCCCGTTGCTCGATCTGCTTGGGGAATTAGTTAGATATTATTTCTGCTTGGATCTATTGTTGGTGTGGCGATGGCAGGAGGAGGATGTTGCAGGAACTGCTGTGAGTGGTTTAGGGAGCTGCTGTACGTGCACTACTGGATCTGGCTAGTTGTTGCTGGAGGATTCTGGATGGCCGTCATCATATCCAGCATCTCGAGGGCCGGGATGGAGTCCCCGGTTACTTGGATCTTGCCACTGTTGGCCTCACACTACGGGATTGTGGTGACAGTAGTTGGCGGGAGTGGACGGTGGTGGCCATCCAAGGCGCCGGCGTTCCGTTGGACTTTGCGATGGAACGGAGGAGCTGTCCTCCAGTGCTCGGGGATAGGATACGCGGTGATTATTGGTGCGATTGTTACTAAAGCTGGCATTGAACCCTGGTTAGCTCTTCTCTACACCGGATATGCATTCTGCATCTCTCGATTCATCTACTATCCGGTCAAGTTCGACTTCACCATGGCGTGGGTGTGGTAAGTTTTATTCTACCTTCCCTACCTATGGCTGTGTGTGTTCAATTCTGTGTTCAATTAACTTGATGCGTCTGTGCATAGTCCGTAGATGGTCTGCTTGCTTGCTTGCTTCTAAATGTAGGCGCTTATTCATTCTTTGTTCATGGCTAGAAGATTGTTCTGGAACCTGGGCAGCAACCTTTTCCTCCCAAGACAAAGGGAATGTTGCACATTTTTCTTTTCTTTCTTTATTGTCAATAAAAATTACAATTGGGCTCCCAATAGAATAAATCCATTTCTATATCTGGGCTAACGCAATGAAAGCCCAATATTTCTTGTTGTGGCTTAATGCAAGGCAGCAGTAGGGCTGGGCTGGGTTTCTTTTCATTATATTATATAAATAAAAGGCCTTGAAAGAAAGAAACCGTCTTGTGAGTGAGTTGTGACACTGACTTGTTAAATGCTATGCTTGGATTGGATTATTAACGAAGGCCGAAGGGCATCTCTTTCTCTTCCACCCTTCCTTTATGGTTTATTTTTGACAGCACCACTGCAAGCGCTGCTTGGGGCATGGAACTCGGCCAAGGTCATAAGTGGAACTGGAGTTGGGTGGCTGGGATATCTGTGGCCCTCATCTGTCTGATCTTCTTAGGCAAGTTTCTCGATGACTACTACCCTCCCAATGAGGACATTTACGAGAAGGGGAGGAAGGGTTTATGGGGGGATAAGGAGAAACCGGTGAATGCGGATCCTTACGTCCCTCCACCGCCGCCTGAGAATGTCGATGTTGTTGTTGACGTGGAGTCGCCAGGAAACCGATCAAGTGATGCTTCGTCTACTCCTCACCCAGGATCCTCCTCCATGCAGTGAGATGTTTTTACGGCTTTCTCTCGGCCATTCAAATTCTCTATTCCATTTGTTTCCTAATTAATTGTCTGCTTACCAATCTTCTTCACCTTCTTCTTCTTTTAGGTCGCTTGATGGAGACCAAAATAGGCCTAGTTCGGTGGCATCAGTGTGGGGGTTCCTGCACCGTGCAATTGATGCTCTTTCTACTCCGTCCGGATACTCCCGCCTTTCTACTATGGAGTGAGTTGTTTTTACTGCTATGCTCTCTCCCTTTCTTCAAATTCTCTATTGCCATTGGTTTCCTAATTATTTGTCTGCTTACCAATCTTCTTTTTCTTCTTCTTCTTTTAGTTCGCTGCTTGTTCATGAAGATGAAATTAATCTCGAGAGCGGCAATGAAGATAATAATCGGTATAGTTCGGTGGCATCAATGCGGGGGTCCCTGAACCGTGCAATTGGTGTCTTTTCTACTCCGTCGGGATACTCCCCTCTGTCTTCCTTAGAGTGAGTTCTTTTTTTTTCCTGCCGTAGTTGTCATCTCATTTTATTACCTCTACTTGGCAACCAAGCTTCTTTTTCATTGGTCTTATAATTAATTGTGTGCTTACCAATTTCTTCTTCTTCTTTCAGTTCGTTTGATCGTGAACCTGCAATTGGTTTCGAGGGCATCCCTGATCGAGTTAATGTACATAGTCGGGGGGCTACTTCGGAGATGGAGATGACGGACTTCGGGATTCAGCCAGGTGGTGCTCCTGCTCCTCCTCCTCCTCCTCCTCCGCCAGGACACGCTACTTCGGAGACGATGGACTTCGGGATTCAGCCAGGTGGTGCTCCTCCTGCTCCTCCTCCTCCTCCTCCAGGACACAGATCTTCTCCTCCTCTTCCTCCTCCTCCTCCGCCAGGACATAGATCTCCTCCTCCTTCTCCTCCTCCTCCTCCTCCTCCGCCAGGACACAGATCTCTTCCTCCTCTTCCTCCTCCTCCTCCTCCTCCTCCTCCGCCAGGACACAGATCTCCTCCTCCTCCTCCTCCTCCGCCAGTACACAGATCTCCTCTTCCTCCTCCTCCTCCTCCTCCGCCAGTACACAGATCCTCGTCTGTTTCTTCACCGCAGTGAGTTATTTTAAATACTTTAACTCTCCCTTCCTTCAAATTATTTATTTTAATTGGTTTCCTAATCTTCTTCTTCTTCTAGGTTGTCTGCTTATCATCGGATTAAGACGAAAAGGCCACTTTTGCATCTACTTCGAGTGGGCCTAAGTAGCCGCCGCAACAAATGACGTGATGGAAGGTTTTTTGGATGGACTTGGTTTTTAGATTTCTCAGAGACATTTGTATTTGTTTTTCCCTCAACTTTTTCCTCACTCATCATTGGATCATGATCGTCAATTTCACTCCAAGGATGTGTTCCTTTGTCAAAAGATCAGTATAGATATGCATTTGTGAGAACAACATCATGCATGAAGTAGAAATTTTTAAGGTTTCTGTCTTTTTACCGTGTTGAGGATCATTGGATCAATTCCATTGACTAGAAGCTCGAGCTTCCATGCTCCCATGTTCCACAAGTCCTCCTCCCTCCTGCTTGTGAAAGGAAACGCATTGCTTCCCCAAATCCACATCATGTGGATGGCATTGGGCCTGACTACCTTGCCTTGGGGATCAAATACCACAAGGATGGCTTGTTCCTGAAGTGCCACTGTTCCCTAACGAACTTAACCACCGCCTTCCGCATCAACAAAGGGTGGTGCACTGTGTACCATGACATTGTGGATTGCAGGCTGTCGAACTTTGTTTCATTGCGTTGGTCCACTGGATCGAATCATCCACTAGAGGGACCCACACCACCTCATACTGGCTGTCTAGCCTTGTCGAATGGAGCCTCGACTCATTTTAGAACTGCTCGAGGATCGAGCTCGTCGTGGGAGATGTTGGGGTCTGATATCAGTAGGACATTCTTCCTTCTCGGCACTTCAATGCTGACCTGTGCTCTCAAACTCCAAAATTAACGACCTGAAGTATGTTTCATTTAACTAATGAAATTGAAAGACCTGGTTAACTAACCCTTCTCTTGGTAGATCCACAAGTGGTTCCATCTCATCCTCATAGTAAATCAGGGCTTTCAGCACCTTCAAGCTGTCAATGTGGATCATCTCAAACATATCCACCAGCATTGTGTACTCTTCAAGGCTTCTCTTCTCATCTGCAACTCGCAAAAAACATTGTTGAGTATTACATGAATGTTTCTTGATACTAACATCTAAGCTGAACCTTGCACAAGAAGCAATCAAAAGAACCTATGTGTTGGTGACATGTAGCTAAATCCTTCCTAATATGCTCATGCATGTTGTTGAGCTTGTGTTCCAATGTGGAAAGGCTCCCATGACTTTGTAGTCGTAAGTGCATACCTAGGAAGCAAGCTTCAAAGGGATACTCATCAAAACTTACCAACGACTTCTGAATTGAGTGCCAAACAGGTAAGTTTTGTGGGTTCAGGAATGAGATGGATTGGTATTTGCCATCTTTAATTGTGAAACAAAAAATATTTATGATGCCAAGTTGCGCAAAAAAGAAAGCCATACTCATGTCCCATGGTGGTGAGCAGAGTAATCTCACTACAAAAAAAAAAAAAAAAAAACACTACCAACAGCAGGGGCTCTTTATAGTTTTAGCGACCATACAAACCGCTGATAATTTTCCCACCAGGGGTTTATTGACCGCTGGGAAACCGATGCAAAACCGACCGCCTCAAATTTATGATAGTGGTTAACTCAACTGCTGGTGAATGCCCTTGCGGCAATTCTAATGGCTGTAGTTGCTATAATTGCCGACCGTCAAATCAAAATTTGCAGCAGTTTTAACGGTTTCAAATCCCCTTCTATTGATTACTCCAGCGTTTTATTTAATTTGCTTGATAATAAATTTGCTGGAAAATTTTAGTATGCCATGTTTCAATGCACATAACCCTTCAAAAGTGACATCAACCATTATAAATATACCACAGAATTTCAGCAGTCGACATAACACATTACTAGGTAGGAAATTAACAAAGTAGTACGTGGTTCAAACTAAAAACCAACAATTTGCAGTCAGAACTTTGTTCGGTTCAAACTAAGAACAAACAATTTGCAGTCAAAACTTCGTTGTCTTCTGAATCACCCACATCATGTATTGCATTCCATCTTAACCTGTTAAAAGCCAACGAAACAAATAAAATTCCCATCACTGCTACTAGCTGAATTCAAGGCAACAAAATGGAATCATATATGAATCAATGACTACATGTTTCAGCTCTTGAAGAACAGAATGGATAACTTCACGATTCAATGAGAACAAACCTGCAAGTAATGTAATGATGAAAAGTCAAATGTTTAAGTGAAAACATGCACATGTATAAAATTCATCTTAATGTTGTTGGTTCCCCCTTGACGGTTTTCTCTCGGTTTTCAGTTTTATTGGTGCTTGTCCTGCATTGCCCTGTTTGTTATGGTATTGTGAATCAATAATACCACCTACACCAGTAAAATTCCTAAATCAAACCAGCAGCCATAGGCAAAGCCCAAAAATCAAAAGTTAAGATAAATCATGATAGTGCTAGTTTAGCAACCTGAAATTACCTGATTCCCCATTGATCTCAAAGGTTCCTGCACCATGGAAAGCAGAACAGTATCATAACCAGAGAACACTGCGCATAATGAAAGAGAAGCATGAAAAGATGCAAAGGAAGGAAAACAATCAATCAATCACATAAATTAATCACTCGGGCTCCTTGTATCTCCGCTTGTTGCCTTCGCTCAACCACCGTATGGTCACTCGAACACCATCTCCAAGCACCACTATTCAATAGATTTGAAAGAGAATGGGAAAGAAATATTACTTAGTTTCATTATTCATTGTCCAAGGGATGCAGTAAGAAGATTATACCTGAGGCTGAGAGTTCCAATAAGTATTGATGTAGATGTACGTCACTGGATATGTCTCATGAGAGCAGTCTCCTAATCACAGCTTCCCCACTCTGTGCCACTGCTGTCCAATGATAAACACATATAAAAAATATCGTAGATGACATGATAGGAGTGGAATCGGATCATATATAGCCTAGGGAATGCTTCTTACTAGGAATGAAAGCTCTCTTAAAAGCACGCATTCGATCCATGTACTTAGTAATGGTTTCACCATCTTGTGAAATAGCTTACTTGTCTCCACACATTTCGCACGTGCACAACAACACTGATTGACCGAAAGGGTTGTTTGTCTATTCTGAAATGGCTTCCTGGGTCTACTTGAGATAACCTGGAAATCTGCTGCAAAGTATGAAAGAAATGATATATTTCCATGTGTTCTAAAACTTCTTCATGGAAATTGAAATGGAGATGCAACAGACAAGAAAAAAGAATATAAGTCTCCATTGGTACCTTGGTGCCATGCAACTTATTTATGCTTTCGTATTCAATAGTTGGCACCTGCATAAGTTCTAAGGCCACATAGAAAGAATGAACCATGAGATTAATCTATAAATTGTAATGCACAAAAATACACGTGAACATCAACTTCACTTTTCAGTTCTACCAACTCACTTTTCAGTTCCACCACTTCACTTCTCAGTTCCACCACTTCACTTCTCAGTTCAACCACTTCAATACCTAGAGTGACTACCTCAGTAGAGCATGATGTCGTGGTAGAATTTGTTGAAGCTGAGGAAGAAGAAGGCACAAAATAGGTCGATGGGATTGGTCCCAAGGCAGCACAACGAACCCTCTCCAAATGCTCTGGACCATGTAGCTTCTGAAAGATTTGTTCATTATTAGTAGACCCTTCATGTCGAAGAGTATGCACCTTTTCCTACACAAAATTAGTAATCAAGTATAAACCATATCAGATTGTAAGATTACATTTGCTGGGTTAAGCTGTACATATATTCTAATTCATGCACAGAATAAGTATTCAACAACTGTAAGAGTTTAAAAAGAACACACTTAGAAGATTAGTTTTCTAAGTTGACAGAAGAGGGAGGAGAAGAAGTGAAGGTTAGGGTGCTGCAAAATTAAATGTTTTCAGGGGTTTTTTCTACTGTTTTCAGCTTGTATTCTTAAACCGAGAGAGTGAATGGAAGTCTTTTAGTAGGAAAATCAGTGCTCACGTTACTATACACTCAGCAGCAACAGAAAGTAAGAATAACACATAACAACAGCCAACAAATTCAAAGGAAACCCTGAAATTAGAAGAAGTGTACCTTGAAGGAGATGATTATTGCGAGGAAGAACCAAACAAATATTGACTGTAAAATCCCTCTTTTAGCCTACAATGTTCAGAAAGGGGGGAAAAAAAGGAATTCGTCAATGCTAAGTGAACATACGATAGGTTATTTTGTCTTATAATCATTTCTGAACTTATGATATCAAGTTGCCAAACTTGTTTGTCTAAGAGCATAACAGGAAAACCTAGAACCTCAATTATGATATCATCTTAAGGAGAACCCCAACATAGATGAAACAATCCACTAACATCAATGCTAACCCACCAAACAATCTCTACACATTACACAAACTCAAACAGTATATTATATGAACAGATATCCGAGCAATACTGCCAATGAATCTATGAACTTAATTTTTCAAGGACAAGAATGATCAGCCACATGCAAACAATCATCACTCAAGCTAAAAAAACGAGGACAATAGAATATCTAGGTACATCTTCCCACAAAGTCATGGACCTGCACCAGCTAAGAATTACACAAATTGGTATTGAAGGGACATGTGCTGGCAGCCAAGAATGACACGGATATAGTAAACTCTACATGCTTGTTATGATTTTTTCAATATGATAATGGGATAAAAGTTGGTAACTGGATCATCTGGCTGCTAAATCTTCATTGGATAGAAGTTACAGCCAAGTGCATCTCAACAACTACTTAATAGTATATTAAGCAATCTTGCTGCATAGAGGAAGCATTGTCAGCATCATTCTTTATTCTTGGGAGCATTGTGATCATGGTCACTCTTGCTGCATAGAGGGAGTAGTAATTATTATTTTGTTGCACCCATTTCAGAGTGAAATGATGTACGTTAACCACATTCGTTGCTTAATTTTGGTTCATTTTCACTTCTGTGGTAGCTACTAGATAACTTTATTAGCAAAACCTATACATGTCGGAATTAATTCCCTCCTAAAATTCGAGCAAAAGTCAAAACAAACCTGTTTTCTAGCCTGGTAGTAAGGTTCGCGAGCACTGTGGCACTAAGTAACCCAACACTATACAACTGAAAAATTCCCAAGTCTAAAGTTGAGCTTGAAATCCGCTACTTCAATACTGCTAACCAGACCTTCTATGAACTCATAAATCAGTCAACTACCCTCCCCAACTATGAAGATAGAGTTCGATTATGTGGATGGAAAAGAAGAACAGCATAGGCTTCCATGCATTGAACTTATCTATTATTGTGAGAGCAGAGAATTAATAAAAGAGGAAGAGGGATGGACTCACGTGCAAATCGACAAAATACCAGACGGCCGGCTGCTGTTGATTTCGGGATGGATCGTCGGCGATTCGCGAAGTGAATCGATTGAAGGAAAGGAGAAGGAAATTCAAATCTCACTGTTAGCCACTTCACCCTACTTCAGAATCTGCAGTTCGATCAATCCACACGCATAATCAAATCTCGGAATATTAATAACTCTGAATAAGACTCGAAATTAGGTTAGAGAGATTACCAGGAGAAGGTCGAGAGAACGTGGTAGCGATGTAGGTCAAATTAGGAGCAACAGCAAAAGCTTCACGGTCGATGGAGAAGACGTACGACCTCTGAAGTTCGAGAACGACGGGGAAGACGTATGACCGCCGGACTTCACGATCGACGAGGAAGACGTACCACTGAAGGAGAAATCTCAGGCTCGTTCAATTTTTCTTTTTCTTCCAATGATAAAAGCTCCCGATAATGTTTCGTTTGAATAAAAAAGGCTAAATTACACGTTTGGTCACTCAAATTATACAAATCTTTCACGTTTGCCACCCGAATTACTTTTCTTTCTTATTCGCCACTAACTTTACGAATCTTTTCACGATTGGTCACCGGCCGTTACACTCCGTTAAGTTTGTCCTACGTGGCAGTCAACTATAAAGTTTGACCGTTAACTAGATGACGTGGAAATTAAAAAAAATAAAAAAAATAAAATTTTCTTTCCACCTCATCATTGCACTTATTTTGTCTATATAATTTATCATATTAATAATTTAATAAATTTTATTAAATTTAATAAAATAAGCAAGTAATAATAATACGGCTTTGGCTTTGGATTTTATTAAATTTATCATATTAATAATTTATTGAATTTTATTAAATTAAAATTAAAATAAGCAAGTAATAATAATAAATTTATTAATAATTTAATAAATTATTAATATGATAAATTTGATGCGGACATGGCGCCGTAGAATGTCCGCATCAAGCTCGGCTCCCTCGCCATTGCATCCCATAAGGACATGCCCAGGACAGCCTCCATCGGGGCCGCCCCGTCGCTGCGCCGGAACCACGTGCTCAGAGACCTCCAGATGCCGAGCTCGTCGTCGCCGTGGTCGGTCCTGAGGAACAGATGGACCGGCGGTGCCTTCAATACTTCCGCCTCCGCACGGTCGTCGGGAAGGAGGAGGAGCTCGGAGGCAGGGGTGAGAGAGTAGTAGTAGTGATCATCGGCCTCTTCTTCTTGGAGTTTGAAGAAGGCGGCGTGGACGAGGAGTCGCATGAGGCGGCGGAGGGCGTCGTGCTTGGATGCCGGGAGGTGGAGCGCGGAGGCCAGGGCCGGAAGGGAGGTGGGCCCCGGGGAGTGACGGTGGATGACGTCGGGTATTCCCAGCTGGATCGCACATTTCAGACACTTGTTGATGATGAAGCTGTAGGAATAGCTCCAAATGCGGCCCTGGGCTTCGATCAGCTCAATATCACTACTGCTGATCATGATGACCGCCTCCGCCATGATCGATCTATCTAATCTCTGGTGGATCGTCGATCTATCTAATCTAAATTATCATATTAATAATTTATTAAATTTTTTTAAATTTAATAAAATAAGCAAGTAATAATAATACGGATTTGGATTTGCATCTGCCCTTCCCTTTCTTACCGAGCTGCAAGCCATATTCGCGGCCAGGATGCAACGGATGCTTTGGGCTGAAGCCGAGGGAACCGCCTCCGCCAGCGCCGGGGAAGAAGAATAAGGCTGCCGGTGGAGGAGGGCAGCTGTCGTTCGACGAGGACTACGAGGAGGAGGAGGAAGCGAGCGAAGGGGACACGTTGATGGCTGCTACTGCGGTGAATACGAGCAGGAAGAGGATGAAGAAAGGGAAGGGCAGTAGCAGTAGTGGTAAGCCGTATTATTATTATTACTTGCTTATTTTAATTTTAATTTAATAAAATTCAATAAATTATTAATATGATAAATTTAATAAAATCCAAAGCCAAAGCCGTATTATTATTACTTGCTTATTTTATTAAATTTAATAAAATTTATTAAATTATTAATATGATAAATTATATAGACAAAATAAGTGCAATGATGAGGTGGAAAGAAATTTTTTTTTTTTAATTTCCACGTCACCTAGTTAACGGTCAAACTTTCTAGTTGACTGCCACGTAGGACAAACTTAACGGAGTGTAACGGCCGGTGACCAACCGTGAAAATATTCGTAAAGTTAGTGGCGAATAAGAAAGAAAAGTAATTCGGGTGGCAAACGTGAAAGATTTGTATAATTTGAGTGACCAAACGTGTAATTTAGCCGAATAAAAAACGTATTTGGAAGGGGGAAAACGTACTTGGAAAGGGAGTTGATAAAGGTCGTCCTTAAAATTACTATTGATCGTCCTAAAAAATAACAAAGTTACACTTTTAACCTTTTGGCATTTTTAGCAAACAAACATCACTTTAACTAAAAAAAATGAAAAACACTCAATTTCCCACACTCTCAAATTCATCGTTGACATTCTCGAGTCGTAATCGTTGAGAATACGTCCGAATAATGAGTAGCGACTCCGACGAGGTAAAAATCTGGTTTTTTTCAAAAAAAATTCCAAAACCCCTCAATTGAAGCCAATTTTCGGTTGTACCATGGCTCAACCTAAGACAATTTTCGGTTTTACCATGGACCAACCGAAAATTGCCTTAGGTTGAGCCATGGTACAACCGAAAATTGGCTTCGGTTGAGGTATTTTGGGTTTTTTTGGATTTGTTTGGTTTATATCAATAATTTTCTATTCTTTTACTACGATTTATGATTCGATCCATAAGATAATTTGTTGAATTTTGGTTTATATATTTTTTTAGATTTATGGAAGGGGGAGGAGTTGTTTGTTTTGTGTTTGATTTTGAAATTCAAAATGGTTAATTTGGTAAATTACATATGAAGTTAGGACGATGGTTAGTAATTTTTAGGACGACCTTTAACCATTCAGCTTGGGAAAGATGTAGTTGGAAATTGAGCAGGGGTTATAAAAGCTGCTGGACTATTTTGCCATCAAAAGTTTCAAACCAAAGCTTGGAAGCGGTTATAGAAACGGCTGCAAAGCAACCCCTGGGCTTGGCCCATTCTCTTGTCGCGCAAGCCATAATGGGTGTCATGGTATAGTAGACAGCAGCGGGAACATGTATGAAGGTGCTAAGCTAAGCTCGTTGAGCTTAACCACACTCCAAGCGACTGGACCTCCAGGATGGCCTTGTGAAAGGGATCGAATCGAGGCTCCAATGGGACGGAATGGAGTGCAAATGCTGCTTAAGGTCATTAATTACCGGGCTTAGCATCCCATTTGAAGCTGGTGAGTACGTGTCTCGAGTATTGTCATGGTTGTGCCGTGTGCATCTGCTCCGATCCTCCAAGTGCCTTGTAGGCTATCTGGAAACAAAGATTCCCAAGCATACATAGCGTTGAATTGATTCGTCTACGACATGACTTACTAAGTATGAGTCCAGCCAACAAGTATTGAATTTGGATGAAAGTGACATACTACGTACATGGACTTATTTATCAAAAGTCGCAGTATATGTACGCGTGTTGTTTGTTAAAACGAACTGCAAATACCATTCATAACCCTATTTTGATATTAGTTTCCTCTTAACTAATCTCACAAGAAATTCTGTCAATGGTATAGGACAGAAAATCAAGCTCTATGGGGTAGCTGATCTGGTGGTTCTTCGATCTCCTCCAATTCTGCATGTGCTTGGTTAGCCTTTTTCCGACTCAAAACAAACACAAAACTGATTAGAAGACGAAATGAAGAAACACTCGTTCAAACTGCATTTGTTTTCTTGAGAAGCTCTTAACTTATGGTACACCATACCAGCAATCGTCATTCAACTTGGAGGGTGGCACGATTAAGGATGTCTTCAACTATGTGGAGAGGTGGGGCCAAGTAGACTTCTTTGCCGTCTGTTGCATGCACTTGCTTCATCATCACACTATCGCCGGACATCGATAACATCCCACCTCAGTCGCCCTTGATCAGCTGCATGTTTGCACCAGTAGATCCTGCAAGTGACCTCAAAGACATGGTAGCGAAATAAGCAGATGGGAACCAAAGATAGAAATTTTGGAAGGTAATCGGTAAATGTGTGGGCACATTAGTGGGGTCCTGCCCCTACTACTTCTATGGATGGATTTTCCTATTATCTCATTTTTGTCCATCATTACACTCGTTATACCTGGTTCTATCCGTTACAACGCAAGTCTGATGTGTTACGGGCATTTCTTGATTTCAAAGCCTTAGTTGAAAACTATTTTCGTAATTCGCTCTTCCCTTCTGGCTAGGGGTATATCCCATCTGCTCACTCCTCCTCATACACCTGAACATAATGGTACGGCTGAACGAAAACATCGTCATATCGTAGAAACATGACTTACTCTTCTTCACCAAGCTTCTCTTCCTCTTTCTTTTTGGTCCCACGCATTTGCAGTTGCAGTTTACTTAAATAATCGTTTGCCATCATCTACTCTTCACGGTGCAACACCCTTTTATAGTCTCTTTAATGAACACCCTCATTACACCAAACTCAAGACTTTTGGATGTTTATGCTTCCCATGGCTTCGGCCATACTCTCATTATAAGCTTGACCCTAAGTCTCGGGCCTGCATATTTATTGGTTATTCATCACAGCAAAGTGCGTATCGCTGAACAATGTTCGAACGAAGATGTTTGATGATTTTGATGGCTGAGAAAACTAAGTTACTTTACTCCTATTCCTATGGAGGTTCAATGAGAACTCCAGAAACTAAAGGCTACGACTATGGCTACATTGCAGAGAAAAAGATAGAGTTTGACATGTGTGTCGCAACCGCACCTCCGAATCGGGGGACCCGTCGCGTCTTGCTCGGAGTTGCCATCGACCGCGCTTTGGGGTGAGTCGAACACCCATTTCCGGTTTTGTTACTTAGGTTAAAACCAGAAATCTGGTCGGGTCTCGACCTTGGGGTCGAAACCGGGATTTGGTCTGCGAATTTTAGAGAATCTGGGTTTGGGAGTACGGTTACGTGTGGGGAAGTGTATTCACACCCCACAACGCCCAAAATTGGTACTACTTAAATTGATAAGTTTTAAGGGTTGGGTGTATTGTTATTATTTGGCTCTTTTACGTATTTAATTATATAAAATTATTGATAATTATTTTGGGTGTATTATTTAGAGTCCAATTGGAAGATATGATTAGCGTAAATTTTGAATTGTTGTAGTTACTTGATAATGTTTACGTCTATTGACGTAAAAATATTTTTTAGATTGGTTGGACTCGAACCTATTGGTTGCCTACGTACCCGACTTAGTCAGGATCAAAGTCCACTTAGTTCGATGTAATTGAGAGTTTTAAATGTCGAGTCTCACACATTAGGAATGTGGAGAAAATTTGTTAGTTGGACTCGAACCAATTGGTTGCCTACGTACCCGAGTAGTCGAGATCAAAGTCCACGTAGTTCGTTGAAATTGATAGATTTTGAAAAGGAGATCTTAACACGTTTCTATTGATACGTGATACTTAATTTTCTTATTTAAGAGATGTAATTTGATAATTATGATTTAAGGGGGTAAAATGTATTAGTTGGGTTAAAGATGAAAGATTTTGTAAAAGGAAAACCCAACACGTTCTATTGATCGCGTTTAAGGTTTAAGATTGAGATTTTCGTGGTGAAATGTGTTTTAATTTTGTAATTGTATGATTGATGATTTTGAAGGATTTCCATTTAAGAAACAATCGAGGTCTATTGGCTAGTGTCATTTCGTATTAAGGGATTTTTTCTAAATAAAACGAGTATGTGTATGAAACATAGAAGCCCAAATAGGGATATTAATTAAGATTTAATAGTATTTTAGAATATGAGGTAAACGTGACTTGATTAAAACAAAAAAAGTTGTATAAATTTTTGCTTAACAAGACATTAAATAGGGAAAAAATCCCAAAATACTCTAATTATTAAAAAAAATTCCCTAAATACAATACTTATAAACTTATTTCCCAAAATACAGCAGTTTCAACATCACTGTCTTTGTCTTCGACAGTGATAGTGATCACCGCTTTAGTCCAAAACGGGGAAGGTATCCCCGCTTTTGACCACAACGGGGAACACATCACCGCTTTGGACCACAACAGGGAAGTAACTGCTGTCCAAAACGGTGATCGCCTCACCGCTTTTATGAGAAACGGTGATTACATCATCGCCGTCGACCAAAACGGTGATAATTGACCACGTTTTAGAGCCCTGGTAGGTGGAAAATTAGGTCACAGCGACCTAGCTATCACCGCTTTGGACAAAAGCGGTGATGTGTTCACCGCCATTGTCCACAGCGGTGATTAGCTGCCATTTTTTTCTATAAATTCCGATGCCCACTTCCC